TACATACCACCATATAAATAAAAATATGCAAACCACTGTCTAAACCAAAATACATTTTCCGTACCACGACATAAACCAAAATATATATTGAAAAACCACCATATAAATCAACATAGGTAAACCTCTAAATTCTACGCATCCCTCTTACCCCTCTTGCGACCAGATCGTGTGTATGACGTCTTTGTGTTTACACTAGCCTTCTTCAGCCTCAACGATCGAGGTCTACGTATAGGTGGATCAGCTGCCATCGAAGGTCCAGAAACGATGCTATCATGAACCAGTTGATCATCAATGGTCACACCAACTGTAGGTACAACGGCTAGTGCCTCTTTCACAATATCACAAGCAACATATACTGACCCAAGTACTCCAACCCCACCTCCTGACGTTATGGACACATCAGGGATATTGCAAACAACTGGTCCAGTTACCTCTCCGACATCCTGTCTGCCTGCAAAAATATTGGGAGTGAAAACATCATGTCGGGGCTCGTCTCCACTGCGATCGTCATGACCAAATCCACCATACTCAACACCAACATTGTGTTGTCCAATTTCTGTAGCAACTTCATCAAACCTTCGTCGAAGAACATTCATCTCATCAGTGACATGATTTCTCAAACCACACACATGACCTGCCAGATCATTTTGGAGACTAGCGAATCTTGTGTTTATTTCTTTCCTCAAATCTCCCATCTTGCTCTCAAATGCCTCCCGTTGCTCATTCAAGATAACTCTTATCTCATTTAAAGACACATGTCTTTCAACGATGGGATCCCCATGCTCTTCTTCTCTGCCTTCAACCAGATGCAAAGCTCGATGACAAGGTCCACCTTTGTTGCCTCTCTGGGATTTATTTGGTCGATGGTTGTTGTCATCGTTCCGTATGATATCATCGTCAACTGGACAAGCTTGTATTTCTATTGATTGAGCAACAAGATCATCTAAAATGGGGTCGGCTGCGTCTTCCAACGGAACTAGATCGACGAAGTACGGCTGTAATTCTTCTGCAGCAGTTGCTCGCAGCGTAGCCCACAAGTGCACCTACAGGAGAAGAAAAATAGGCGAAATGAAAAAATATATATTGCGGAGTGTAAGGCAATTAAGTATGTAAATCGCCACATTTGTCCTCTCAAAAAAATCTGAATATGTTCGGGAATGAGGTTATTTCATGCCAGACCATCGCAACATCCTCGGGACATCGTCACAAGTCTTACTCGAGAATCGAGCTCCCAACTCCGGAATTGCCTCGTACGTCCAAATCTGCATGACATTTGTAACAGTAATAACCATATTTGGAGATAAATAACAATGAGCGATGAGAAGAACTGAAATGAACCAAAATAGATATATACCTGGACAGCAAAGAGAATCCGTACAATGTGTAAGTCATCCTATCACAATCATTCACTTTTACCATGTCCGCCTTTCTTCCCCATCCACGTAGTAGTGATTTGATGAGAAGTTGAAAACATACTGTCCCCCATGGGTAGGCATTGAAAAAATTCAAGTCGTCAACGATGGAAAGAGTTGTCGAATTTATTCCTACATTTCGATTTCTTGAATTAAATACTCCTTCAATAATTAGTGCCAACCCAAGCTTGTAACGATCGTTACGGTTGGCACATTTCAAAAAAGCTTTCTCCAGGTCGCTACACGTTATCCTGTCCATATTAGCAAACATTTTATCTTGTAGACGGGTTTTCTCTAGGATTTTGTCAACTTCGGCACCTTTAGGCACTGGACTGCACTTCAAGCCAGTAATTAGTGCGAACTCCGGTAGTCCAAATCGTACAAACCTTTGGTTCACCTTGAACCAAGCCTCAAACCGCTTTCGGCATACCATCGATCTGTTTACCATTTCATGAATTAATTGAGCAGATAGTTTCAGCTCCGATAACCTTGCAACATGTCTTCTACAACTGTCCTCCAACTGACGCTTTTGCTATGGATCCAATTTGTTGAGGACAACTGATATATATTTTGTATTGCTCACTTGCGACACATGGGCCGGAACACGTTCTTCCTCCGGAATATTATATCGGTGTGTCATACTCATCTACAAATGAAAACAATACTTTAACAAATACTATGAGAATGTACAAATGAAATCAAATATAACATTCTTGTTAAAATGCAGTGCAAGAAAAATAATTTTTACAATACAATGGTTTGATAAAATATCATATCTAAACTAAGTTATTTAATTGTTGAAATTAAAACAAACCTGACTTCTGATCTGCAGCTATCATGTAACCATTTTATAGTTGATCACCATTCAAACAGTTCAAAAGTATATACACAATCTTCTACAATTTCATTAAGTTAATTGCATAATTTAGATATGCAAATAAGTCGAAAATACAATATTCTTTAACAAAATAAATAACAACAACATAGCCTTGTATTAAATAAATTTAGAGCCAACTACAACAGACCATACGCAAAATCAAGTATACATGTCGTAAGATTTGACAAAGTTTTCTATCTGTTATCAACCTATCACAGTCTTCCTCCATAAGAAACCATCAATATACAAATGCAACCCTCAAAAAATGCAGAACAAATTTGATGCGAAAATGAAGCCATTTAGTTGCTGATGAGCATTCAAACAGTCTTAAGAGTGTATAATAACAACACAATCTGTGTCATTTCATCATGTTTATTGCCTAACTCAGATGCGAAATATGCCTCAAATGGAGTATTCTTCACTTCGTACTAGTGTTATTTATCATCCAGCAGCATCAAATTTAGTTCACATATAGATTATATCTCAAAAGCAAAAATACAATAACAGGGACAACAGAAAGTACAATCATTTTCCTGATTTCTTTAAACACTTTACCTCTTCAACCTTTTTGACAGTATCTCACATGTACCACTTTTTATCTCAAATTGTATCAACAGTTAGTATTTGCTCGTCCAATAGAATAGAGACACTCAGTGACCTTGACATCAATTTATGTTAAACTAGCCAAATCTTAGGATTTAGGAAGAAGGGAGACTTGGGGAAGTGAAAAAAATAACGAAATAAAAAAAAAATAACGAAATAAATTTACTCAATAGCACTGGACTCTGAAGTGTGATGGGCAAACGGCAACTGGGAAAATAAGAGAGAAATGGACAGGCTCGTTGTCGGCGAGTTAGGTCAGAGTGAAGATTGAGAGACTGAGAGTGAGAGTTAAGAGGACTTAGTTTAGGGCTTCTTTTATTTTTTTCATTCCCCAGCCTTCATTTTTTTTTTTTTTTTTTTTTTTTTTTTTTTTTTTTTTTTTTTTTTTTTTTTTTTTTTGTATTCGGGTCGAGTTATATCAGGTTTTTCATTTTTTACCCATAACTCGATCCAACTCGACCCGCACCTACTTGACCCATAACTCGACCCACATCGACCCACACCTATCCAACCCAAGCATTTAATGCTGATTGATATTTCCACGTTGATTGACATGAATAGTGATATGGAAAATTTTGAATTCTTGTGTGAAAATAATATTTCTAACAGGGGTATTTTCGTCTACATAATTCGAAAATGGACATTGACAAAATTGTGGACATTTTGAAAAATGACTCGCTGAAAATGGACATTACGTTAAATTTCCTCATAAAATAATTGACGCTGAATTAAAAGAATTGAGCCTGTTTACGGCTTTTTGCTTACGATACCCAGTCAAATCAAAGATATTTTTTCAACTTAACATTAAATTTTATTTGAAATTGTGACACGTGGGGCCATCCTTGCAAATGTAAATGAAGACTTCTTTGATCATTCACTTTTTCCACAGTAAAAAAATAAGGGAAAACGAATTTTTTGTAGATATTAATGCTAGAATAGATTAATTCTCATACCATGTGATACATATAGAACAAATTACAAGGACGACTACCGTGTTATATAATTTATTAATTATTTTATTTTATTTTATTCAAGTAGCATATTACACATGACAAAAATATATATCATGAGGACGTGTTACAAGCCAGACTAAATAATTTTATAGCTCAAGATATAGGAGGATGAAAAAGGTATGTTAGAAAAGAAATAGAAGAGGGGACTAGATTTTGATAGGTTGGCAGTTGCTGCATCGTCTAGTATTGATTATAAAATTGGAGAGTAATGAGAAGAAAAAAATTAAAAATTTTCATTCATTATAATATTTAATTCTTTTAATATTGCACACCAAATATATCCCATGTATATCATAGATCATGAGCAACAACGAGTGCCAATAGTTTGAAATATAGATGTTGCTACTTAGGAGAGGCATGGTTTCTTTTGATGTGGGTCAAGGGTGGAGGGAAAAAAAGGATAATTGCAGTAGAATCCTCAAACCTTTGAAACACTAATAATTTTTCCCCAAATTTCAATCGTTACAGCAGTCACCCCTAACCTTTCCAATCAATGTATGTCAGCCCTTTTAAATTGTTTTTATCCAAAATTCCATCAACTGACCAAAAAATGATTTTAACCATATTTTAACAATTTTTAAAGAGGGCAAAATGGTAACTTTACATTTCCCTATTATAAACTATGAAAATGTTAAAATCACAAAAAATAAAAAGAGAAAAAGGAAAAATAAAATTGGTCTTCTTACTCAACCAAAACCTACTGCATCCTCACCCGGACAAATGAGTAGGCAGTGGGCAATCCAGATCACTCCTGGAGGTTGTTTCGATATGAAAGGGTGGTTGGGTTGATGCATTCCCATTTAGAAGCTTCATTTCAAATAATCACACTCACTCAAAGGCCTTAATCTAACCAATACCAGAATCTTTTCTTCTTTCGGTTGAGGTTGTCCCACATTGGTTGTGGGTGAGCCTGGTATGTAGTTTATAAGTGAGAGTGAAAGCCTTACCTTTTGAACTAGCTTTTGAGGTGAGAAAGGTCCAATACCACTCAACATTGGTATCAGAGCCCTATTTATCAACAAGTCTTTGGCTCAACATTCACGAAGATATGGGTTTCTATGAGGGGAGATACGAGTTTGGTCTTCTGCAGGTCCCGTTGTGTAAGGGGGAGAGGGATTTGGCCCCCCGCAGGGCCCAATGTATGGAGAGAGACATGTTTGGTTTCCCGCAAAACCCAATATATGAGGGGGAGATTTTTGAGGTCATCTCACATCGATTATGGATGTGGTTAATATTCAATTTATAAGTATGAGGAAAAGTCTCACATCTTGAATTAGTTTTTTGGGTGAGAGAGACCTAATACCACCTAACACTTTCCCATTTCCCATTCCTTGCACTTTTCTCAATTTATCATTTCTTTCCCGCCAGGCGATTACTAACGTGTCGGACCCAGTGACTAAATATTATCAACTGGAGAATCAGGCGATGGAGATTGACGCCGCCAAGTTAAGGGCATTGGTTTTGAATCTATTCAGAGTACATTAAGTCAAAAGAAATTTGAATCGGGCTTTTATGGCGTCAAAGTGGTATTACAAGCTACTGAAAATGGAGGAATTTGTTAAGAAATCTTGCCATGATTCTTTAGTGCCAATGTGTTTGTGGCTCCTCTGTGTTTTTTTGCATTCTTTATAACTTACATCAGTGCAAAACTTGTGTTGAAAAAATTGTTTGGTCGACAATCGACAGTTTGAAGAGGTTCTAGGGGTGTCGCCAATTTTTGGCTGGCTGATTGCTTCTAAAAGGGAATGGATTTCTAGGTTTGTTGTGGGGTGGGGTGGAGTGCGTGGGTTAGGGAAGAAAGCCAATTTTATTTTTCCTTTTTTTATTTTTATTTTTGATTTTAACATTTTCATAGTTTATTATAGGAAAATATAAACTTACAATTCTGCCCCTTTAAAATTGTTAAAATGTTGTAAAAATCATTTTTTTGATCAACTGATGAAATTTTGGATGAAAATTGTCAAAAAGAACCCAACATGCGATGGTTGGAAACTTTAGTGGTGATGGATGTAACGATTAAAAGGTTTAGAGAAAGTCTACTGGTATTTCAAAGGTTTAGAGCCTCTACTACAATTATTCCTTAAAAAATCTATCCTTCCTAACTCGGTCCCTAGTATAGGTGCTATTTGTATAAACAAAAGGGAAGAAATGATTACTGCTTGCTTCGGATCCATTCATGGAAATGTTGAGGATCTAGTAATTTTTGAAAGGCTAAAATTTCCATGGGATTAAGGATGTCAATTCGGCTCGTCAGCTCGATTAGTAAAAAGCTCGACCAGACTCGGCTCACAGCTTGGAGGAATTGAGCCTCATTTGTTGGCGACGGCTCGAGTTTGAGTAGGCTCGTGTGGCTCAGCCGGCCAGTGACATAGGCTCGTTGAATCATAGAAAAGGATTTACATAATATATTCAACTTTTCTTTTTCGTTGTTAACAAGAATATATAATGTACCAAATCAGTATTCAATGCTAACTAACTAAGAATAGAGAAAAACACTGAAAATATAAGGCACATACCTTGCGGTGCTAAAAATTGAACATAATTTAACAGAAACCTTTTATTATGCATTCTCATTCATTTACTGTTGTGCCACCAATCAACTACACATTATTATTTTGCCTTCGTAACATCTATAAAATTGGAATCCAAAATTTCATATTTGCCACTTATTTTAGAACATAATCTACGCATAGTTATATCAGGCAACTACAGCTACTTTGTAGCTGTTAAAAAAATTCAAAATTTCGAATTAATATAAATTACGCATAATATACATTATGAAAAAAAAAACGAATTTCATGACTTAAAAATAAATATATAAATAACCAAGCCAGCTAGGCTGGGCTCCGTTTGACAAAGGCTCGAGCTGCCTTGATTTTTTCGGTCGAGTTTTGGCTCAGCGGAACTCGGGCTAGAAAAGCTTGAGCCATTTTTTACCGG